ATCCTGCTACCTTGCTGTCAGTGTTTGATGGTGTCTAGGAAGCTTCTGAGTAGAGTTTTTGGGTCGTTAAGCTATAGGATCATATTGTCCTGCAAATAGAGATATTTTGACAGTTTCCTTACCTATTTGTATTCCTTTTATTCCTTCTTCTTGCCTAATTGGTCTGCTAGGAATTCCAGTACTATGTTTGAATAAGGAGTGGAGATAGTGGCATCCTTCTGTAGTTCCTGATTTTTAGGGGCATAGGTTTCAGTTTTTCTCCATTAAGTATAACGCTGGCTGTAGGTTTTTTGACTATACAGCTTTTATAATGTTTGAGGTACTTTCCTTCTATTCAATTTTCCAGCTGTTTTCATGTTTTTGTCTTTACTTTTTGTTGAGTTTCTATTTTACTGCATTGTGATCAGATAGTATGCACGTATATTTCTGTTTTCTTATATTTGCTGAGGCTTGCTTTGTGCCCTAGGATATGATCTATTTTGGAAGGTTCCATGGGCTGCTGAGAAGAATGTATATTGTGTAGAGTTGGATGAAATGTTCTGTAGACATCACTAGGTCATTTGATCTATTGCATATTTTAGATCTTGGATTTCTTTATTGATTTTTTGTTTGGATGACCTATCTATTGATGATAATGGGTGTTAAAGTCTCCCACAACCACTGTGTTGGGTTTATGCTTTTAGGTCTTTCAGGGTATGTTTGATGAAATTGGGTGCGTTGACATTGGGTCTAATAAGGTTGATGATTGTTATTTCCTTTGGTCTATTTCCCCTTTTATTAGTATGGAATGTCCTTCTTTATCTCATTTGATCAATGTAGGTTTGAAGTCTACTTTGTCAGAGATAAGTATTGCTACTCCTGCCTGTTTTTGGGGGCCATGGCTTGGTAAATCTTCTTCCAGCCTTTCATCCTAAGCCTATGCTTATTTCTGTCGGTGAGATGGGTCTCCTGTAAGCAACAATTGTTGGATCTTCCTTTTTAATCCATTTCGTCAAACGGTGCTTTTGATGGGTGAATTAAGTCCATTAACATTAAGTTTAGTACTGATAGGTATGTGGTGATTCCTGCATTTAGTGTTGTCTTAGTTGTTTGAAGGTTTGATTGTGGTACCTAAGTTGAGTTACTCTCTACTGTCTTGCTTTTTCTTTTCCTGTGGTTTGGTGCTGCCTGTCCTTTTCATGGTTATGTTGGGTTTCACTTTCTGTTGCAGAATCCCTTGAAGAATCTTTTGTAGTGGTGGCTTTGTGGTCACATATTGTTTTAGTTTCTGCTTATCATGGAAGACTTTTATTGCTCCATCTATTTTGAATGATAGTTTTGCTGGGTAGAGTATCCTGGGGTTGAAGTTATTCATTCAGTGCCCTAGCTCTTCTTGCTTTTAATGTTTCTGTTGAGAAGTCTGCTGTGATTTTGATGGGTTTACCTTTGTATGTTATTTGTTTTTTCTCTCTTACAGCCTTCAATATTCTTTCCTAGTTTCTGAACTTGTTGTTTAATGATGATATGTCGTGGTAGTTCTATTTTGATCTCTGTTTGGTGTCCTGGAGCCTCTTGCATCTGTATGGAATATCTTTCTCTAGATTTGGGAAATTTTCTGTTATTATTTTGTTGAATATATTACGCATTCCCTTTGCTTGCACCTCTTCTCCTTCTTCGATGCCCTGATTCTCAAGTTTGGTCTTTGATGGAGTCGGTGAGTTCTTGCATTTTCTTTTCACAGGTCTTGAGTTGTTTAATTAATAGTTCTTCAGTTTTTCCTTTAATTACCATTTTAAGTTCTGAGATTCTGTCTTGTTTGTTCTATTCTGCTGGATTGGCCTTCCGTTTTGTTTTGCAATTCTGTTTCAGTTCTTTTTTCTGAGGTTTTCCATATCCTGGTGTTTCCTCTTTAATGTTGTCTATTTTTCCTGAGTTCATTTATCTCTTTATTAATTGTGTTCTTTGTTTCACTTTGGTGTTTTAACAGTGCTTCTATGGTTTCTTTATTTCTTCTTTGCTTTTTCAAATTCTCTATTTTTGTCTTGGAATTTCTTGAGTGTCTCCTGTACATTTTGGTTGACCCTATCCAGTATCATCTCTATAAAATTCTCATTGAGTACTTGTAGTATGTCTTCTTTTAAATTATTCTTGTGGGCTTCATTGGGTCTTTGGCATAGTTTATCTTCATTTTGTTGGAGTCTGGATCTGAGTATTCTGTTCTTTTCATTCCTCTGGTTCCTGTACTAATTTTTTGCTGTGGGGAAACTGGTTTCCTGTTTTTTCTGTCTTCCCGTCATTGCCCTTGGTGTTGTTGTTGTCCCTGTACTGTGTGCAATTAAGTATTTTCTTTGCTAATAATAACAATGGTGATATTTAGAATGGAAGGGTGAGAGTGAGATGGAAGCAAAGAATTAAAGGAAAAGGGAAAAACAAATAATCAAGTAGGAAAAAACAAAACAAAACAAAGAAACAAACAAAAAAAGTTTGAAAGATGTAAACAGGAGAGACATGTACTAATCAACCGTAAGCTGAAAAGGCATTAGAGAGACAGAGAGGATTGAAAATGAAAAATAAGTAAATGAAAGAAAAAATATATATATAATAAAATAAAAAATTAATTTAAATAAAAAATAAAACCCTCAAGTTCAACAAATGAATTTCACTCTTAATAATTTTGGTGTTCTTCCCAGCCTCATCCTGGAGATGGTGCCTCAGATGTTGTTCTGTAGTTGTCTTATCAAAGGGGACATAAATAGAAAAACAAAACCACACAAAGAAGAAAAAAAACCCACAAGTGTCCACGTTCAATGCAGTACAGTTTCAGTAAGTTTTTCAGCATGTAGGTGTAGTTCAGTTGTTTTCTCATCAAAGGTAGGGAAGAAAAAAAAAAAGAGTCTAAAGACAGGTCTTGAATGCCTATTCTGCGGCTGTGGCTTGCCTGCCTGCTGCTTTCAGCCTGCTGTTGCTGGAGGCTTTATTTATGCAGATCTCAGGGTGAGCTTAGCACTCCACCTGGTCCCGCAGGCTTTGTTTTACTTAGAGTTCTCCTTTGCGTGAGCCACACAAGCTTTCTCCTTTCCAAGCACACTGGGGGAGGTGACACTGCACCCGCTTTCTCTGGCCTGTGTGTTTATTTACAGTTCATATGGGAAGTGGGCCTTCACCCCTCTCCTGTGGAGTTTTCCCTCCTCCTGCCGCTTTTACAAAGTTTTTCCCACTCCTGATTGCTAGGCGCGTGCCCTCCCAGCCAGGCCTGGCTTGTTTATTTACAGTTCCAGGAGGGATTCCTCTCCCCCTCTCAGCACTCAGGGCACCCACCCTGTTTGCTATGTGTCTTTATTTTTCTTATTGCTTATTACTCAGTTTCTCTTTTTTCCCCAAGTGGGGGTCAGTCTGTCCAGGGGTCTATGCTGATCTGGCCCAGGGTTTTTTGTGGGAGTACCGTG